AACGCAACAATCACATGGAATGCACACTACGACCACCCAGAAAGGAATTACATTTCGCTCGGAAGATACGACGCTCTCGTATCAAAGGAAACCGTACTACTGCCAATTGCCCAAAGCGCATTCATCGTCACCGAAATGGATCAAAATGCTACAAAGGAATTAGGAAAGAAAGTGTACCAGACAACATCAGGTACCCTATTACACTTCCTTGAGGAAAAACGAATCAAAAGGAGCATGGAAATCAAGCAGGAATACCCAAAATGGTTTTTCAACATCACCGAGTATCCGTTCCTTAGACTAACAGCAAGCAGAGTAGGAACTATTCGGATTTACAGAAACTATATGGAAAGCAAGGAGGTCGATCCCGATTACACCCTGGCAAGCTGGACTAAGTACAACAACAGAGATGCAGCCATTATGAAGTACCTAAACGTCAATAACAATAGTTTAAGATACCGACTCACATGGCATAACTATACCGATGTGAACTTAGCTATTCTTCATACAATGGCAGAAGCAGAAATAACAAAAGCAACCGAACTGTGGACGAATAGCCTGACACCAAGACAACTTTGTAATCAACTAGCAAAAAGAATCACAACCTCGGAATTTCACAAATTAGCCAATAACCTTCAAGGGGACTACTTCAACAGAGGTAAACAGATTGCTTTTAAACTAGCCCAGACTTCCGCCGTCATGCCATCTGGAGACATCGTTCCTTCTATGTCCGAGTTCGTATTCCAACTCATGCCACCAAAGAAGCCAACACTCCTGAAGCCGATGAATACCGAACAATTAGAAAGCAGGATGAAGGAAGCGATGGAGATAATGGAAGCAATGAAGAATGTCAAAATGGTCTTGGGACAACAAGCAGAAAGCCAAAGGAAGAAAGATAACGAAGAATGGAGAAGGAAAATCATAGCAGCCAAAACAAAACCAGTAAATTTTCCCAATTATACTACTATTTTCGATGACCAGGATGCCGCATTTGGATTCAGAAGAAAAACGGACACATTAGAGCTACCAGGAGACAACGAAAACAGCTTTGAAAATACGATTTTAAGATTATTCCAAACCCCAGGAATAATGCCAT